GTATCTGCTGCATGGGAAAGTGCGGATGGACGAGTGCGGTTGCAAGAGCGACAACGAGACGCAGACAAGGAGGTCATAGAAGCGAGAAAGAGCGTTAGTTGAAAGGTCATAGGATGTCCATGTCGCGTTTCTATCGGGTGTCACGTTTCGCAGTATCAACAGAAAAAAAAAAACAGCACGCTCGTCTGTCGATGTAGGAGCACTTCCGAATGAGCGAAATTCGACGTCCGATAGTTGACGATGCTTTCGCATCGACCATCGTGATTACGGCGGTCGACGGCAATGTGCTACGTGTCGCGTCGCACCCCTCAGTTCTCTCACTACAGTTTTTTGTGTGTTTCAACCCCGTCATTCAACCAAACGAGGAACCCGATCGGGAGAATTAAATCGTTCGACGTTCGCATTTGGAAAAAAAAAAACAATCACCGTGTGGACATGACAACAATGATTGTCGAAGTATACGTGAAACGATACAATTTCGATAGGACAGGCAGACAGAATCAAGAAAATTAAATAATTCTCTTAATAACTTAATTATAAGTAATTTGCTAAATACAAAAAGATTAATTTTTTACTAAAATGAAATTCTAACAGTAATGATTGCAGATTGATTGTATACCATTATACAGGGAATCGAAGATAACTATAACGATAGTAATCACTAAATATAAAAACATTACAATATACAATAAATTAAAAAGATTCTTCTATATAAAGAGAACAATGTATATGTCAGCGCTTAAGAAAAATTCACCACAACTAGATTCTTTTATATAGGCGACGTGAGGGGGAAGCTGGAAACCGCAGCGGCACGAAAGGCAAGGATTCACATGAGTTTAGACTCTCTAAGCGCTTCTTAAAACTTCCCGTAGCCGAATGCGCTTTACGAACGGAAGTGCAGTGGCTTTGGTTCAAGCGTCTGGACGACCTGGACTCTTTCACAGGAAGTCTCTCTCTCTCTCTCTCTCTCTCTCTCTCTCTCTCTCTCTCTCTCTCTCTCTTTCTCCTTTTTTTTGCACCGCCGGAAGTACTCCTCTGTCGCTCTTTTGCCCAAGATGCCCTTCAACGTGCAAGACGATGTATACGAGAACGTACACTCAAAAGTGTATTCACTCGTAGACACCGAGATCTTGATGTCTTTACGCGAGCCGAGATGTAAAGATGCATTCACGCCAACAAGGATTCTCCCGAGGATACCCGTCCCCGACGATTTACGGACGAAACTAAAAAAGGAAAATAAGGCTCCAAGGATTTCTTGGACGCTCGTCAAAGATTTCTAGATTTTCACCGAGAACTACTTCCTTTTTAAGAATTACCTACATGTGACTGACAAAACGTCCCTTTCTTCCCTATCTTTCTGTTGCTGTTTCTTTAAGTGCTTTCATATATTTTATCCTGCTTGTATGCAAACATGTATGGAAGTTTATTTTAAATAAAATGGCAGTTTCAATTAAAATACGCACGGAAAGAACAGTTTTGTTAAGGTATTTAAAAATTTAATTAGATAAAAATAAAAAATAATTTTGTTCGAATCATCAAAATAATTAAATCTGTTCGCGTTGTTTAAAATCTTTAAAAATTTTTTCACATAAAAAGAGATAAATATATATTTGGATGTTAAAGAGAGAAAGAGAGAGAGAAAGCAAAGATACTGAGTGCAGAAAGTGCAATCAACGCAAACAAACCTATTACATTATAGGGCGTTCAAATCGATTGCTATGTTAAATCTTTTTGCAGCATTGTCATTAACATAAAATTATTTATAAATTGTGTTACATAATTATTTTGTGTGCTTATATCTTTCCTGGTGTTTTTTTATCTAGTTATATAATAATAATAATAAACTTTTCTTCTGTATCTTATTAATATAAATAAAAAATGTTTTTATTAACCTTTTTATATCACAATATTATCCCTTAATAGAGAATGTTATAGTATAGTTGCTACTTCGTAATAAGTTTACGCAACTTAATTTATAACTATCACAGTTATTAGGATAAGGAGTTTTCAAATGATCCAATATCCGCAAGAATAGTAACACTTCTAGTTTCGTAGTGGCAAAGTAAATCTCGCGGAGTTTGAAGCATGACGATCCTTCACCTTCGACTACACTGCATCCCCGATGATAGAAGGTCATATGTTCCCCTGTCAAAGTTCAAAAGCTTCGATCCAACTTTGAAGTTTCATTGTCATCCATTACCGTTCAATCTGAGAGTTCTCTGGTGTGAAATCGCGACTGCAAAGAATGACTAAAGAAACTTTCTACGATCGAACTTCAAATTATTCACAATTTAATGTCTTAATGTTCTCGCGAATATTCATTTATAATAACGACTAAAACTGAAATTTGTTCATTTTGCACTTATATCAAGAATTTTGCACTATATCAAGAATTTTGATATCAAGATTAGTAATAAGGGAATAAAAGAAATGATATTACTTTTCTCGATCTTAAAAGAAAAGAAACTGTTTTTCATTTCCATTCCTTTCTGTATGTCTTGAAAAACTGACTAAAGGTAATCTATTAAAAGCTGAAGCAAGGCACCTAATGAGGCCACACACATATAGTTAACTCTACTACAACATGAATGTATTTTCTGTAAAGATAAAAGATCTTTCTTTGTCAATGCTTCGATGTCTGACAACTCTATTCTCCGCAAGCTTGCGTTTTGTCGTTTTATCCAAACTGCGATCAATCGGCAAATCTTTTCTCTCTTTCCGCCATCGACCATACCAGAAACTACTGATAGTCGAATATCACGACAGAATCAAAAGCTTCTTCAACTTTAAATCGTAAAAGAATGATTGAGATACTCCTCGGTAATAATATAAAGTTGACAATATGAGATTCCTTCTTCGAGGATTCTAACGAATACTAAAAAAAAAAAAAGCGTTGATTCATTCGATTCAAGAAATTGACATTTACGTAAATTTATCTGTATCTTTATGTCAAATATGTAAATGACAGAGAATATTAAAAACTACAATGCCAAGCAGAATTAACGGGAGAACACTGGCTTATTACGCTCGGTACCTCCCGTCGACTGCGATTAAAGATCTTTTAATTAAAGTCCAGACGATTTTCCATAAAGTTCCGACGTTTTCCTTGCGATTATTCGTCATTCAGAATGAAAAACTAAATTAGATCGCCGCGCGCGACAATACACCTATCGAATCGATCGTTCGCTTACGGAGTGCGTCTGCACCAAAAGAATTAATTTAAATTCCTTTAATTAGACAAAAGTGCTGCTCCAGCGCTCGCAAACGTAGTTACGTTTTAATTACTTTTCTTCGAACAAAAAGAGGCTATGACACGTAATCCAAGGAAAAAGGATAAGATTGCGATTAGATTTGTGATTTAATTGATGAGCGCTGTAATGAGATTATACACAATTTCGCGCTTTCAGTTTAAAAATTAGAAGTGAATTAAAATGTCTAATACAACCGTTTGTCTTAATAGGCTAACGCGAGACGAATGGTTCGAAAACTCGTGAAGTTGTAGATAAAAGAGAGCACGCCGAGGTAATTGTATTTGCATATGAACTTTGCGACCCTTCGCGGCGCTACCGGGCGCATCGATCTGATGCGTGGATGACCATACATATTGCATTTAAATAGAATTTTTGATAGATCTCTCCTTCGAGAATAAATATGGCATGCTATAATATACATAGAAATGATAGAGATAAAAAAAATTAAAATTAAATTATACTATAGTTCAATTTACAGGGTCGCTGGTCAATATTCAGATTCGCCGCACTTACTAATGATAGATTTTTGAAATCATTTTGAAAGGAAAATTCTAATCTCAAAATGTCGAACTTATAATTGTTAATGTTAATATAAACATTACATGGGGGGGAGGGGGGTGGAGATAAAATTACTGATATTTCTAACTATTGATATGTATTATTATGCTCAAAAAAAATATTTAGCCTAGACATTAAAATTTTTTATTTAATGTCTAGGCTATATGTTTTAAATAAATTTATTTAAGGTTTTTTTCAGCACATTGTCAATTTAATTTAACTTGTGATATTATTGCAGTAGTTTAATTGCGTTAGATAGAGTCCGGAAAAATTTCGACGCGCAGTTTGAACTACAAAAATATGATATATAATATGCATGTACATATATAGGATATAGATAATTCATTGGGAATTGTTTAGGCAAAAAAGATCTAGCTTTGACCGTCATAGGCTTGAATATTCTTATACTTAGTGTTTAATTCGTGTCGGTCCGAATAAAATTTTATTATTGATTAAAATTTTTATCTCAAAATTACTTCAGGGATCTGCCATTAACAGATGGTACGTTAGAAATACCCTGCCCAAGTAACACAATCTGACTATGTTTAGCTGACTGCGACAGCAAAAAGGCAGACAGTATTTTAACATCCTGCCACAGCCTTAATTGCAGCCAAAGCTATTTTAGTTGTATTAATAGCTGCTAATAATCATTATGACAGCTAACAGAAAAGCCAAATTACAACCACAGCTATTTTGGCTGCGCAGGTAGCTGTAGAATAGCTGTGACAGCTAACAGAGAAGCCTAGAATGTTAAAACTTTTGCAATTATTTTGATAATTCAATAAAGTTATTTTCAGATCTATATCTACTTAATTTTTTAGATGCTTTAGCAAAACTGTTTGTAGATGAATGATATATTCGTAAACTCATAAATACCGTGTGTACATCAGTAAAAAAATGTGGCGTACACGAACGGATTAATTGTATATCATAAAAAGAAACAAATTTATATAAGGCCAAGCTCGGGAATACGTAAATGGTTTCGAAAGCCACGGTGACTACGTAAAATTGCAGTTCTTTACGTGTACAATGATGATTGTTCCAATCACAACATAAATAATACGAAAATATTATTTATGTAAATTATTTTAATCAAATCCCAACCGCTACACGTAAATAATCAAGTAAGTAGTATCGTGGATGTGAGTGCACGAAATTCGCAAGTGAAACGATACGTAAAATGGCACTTACCCAAGCTGAATCCGGAATCCTTCACGTGGATGACCACCATCGGCATCAGTACCATCACAACGAGGTTTATGACGTGGAACACCATTCCCGTGCCATGAGCTATGATATCCTGCGACAGAAAATAAAGAGTTACAACAGGAAGTGGCTTGCATACAGTGCGTATAGCATACAACATCGTCGACGTAGAATGACGGCGGAGGAGCTAAACTGATGGACGCAGTGTTTTGCGAGCAAATTCTAAATAATAAGCATTTTCTCTAACAAGTACAAGCTACTTAATGCAAAGAAGAATTTTACAATTTTAGAAATTTACAATTTATATTAGAAAATATTAAAGTATTTCACGGTGAATTGGCTGGGAAATGACAAAATTTGAGAGAAATATATACCTTGATAAAATGTCTTGATACTTAAATTACATCTAAAATTTATGTGGAATACATTTTTGTCGTTTGCATTTCATTGTAAGAGATTTGAATTATAAAGCATCGTTAAAATATAATATCAGCTATCTCATAAATACTGAAATACACCACACTTCTCTAATAAGTAACATTCTTCATTTTTTAAAATTATATCTTTAAATATACTTTAAATGATTAAATTACGTGAAACATACACATACATATTTTAATAAATATTAGTAGCTCGTATATGATTATAGATAATTATAGAAGTAAATCGCACAAGTAAGAAATCGTCAAATATTTACACGGAGCGATCGCACTAAACATTTTTCCATACTTACCGCGATCACAATTCGAGAAATAATACAAACAGAGCAATCGCGTCTAACTGCTCAACAGTTATCGAGCGAATGATAATACAACGACTTCGTAACACAGAACACCGGAACTACAAGTACCAATGTGACAATCACGCGCCAACCATTCCGAAAGATTGCGTAGCAAACGAATGATCAAAGAGTAAAGAGAAACAGGAGAGAATGTATCAATAGTGGGGGTAGCTAAATCTGCGGACAGATGTACGCCATGGCAGCCATCTTAAGCATCCACTTTTTTTTATGTTTATACGACGGTTTTAATAGGAAAAAGATCTTTAGCAACAAAATAGTTCATTATTAATAAATATTGTAAAGAGCACTATGGTGCATTGCTAGGCGTGTGGTGTAACAACTTCAGCTCGAAATTATGGGATAACCTTTCATCGGTTAGTATTATCAGTAATAATGAGAATTTTATATTTTGGAGGTTATACTCTATCGTATGTATACTAATGTATACTCAAAGAGTAAAGAGAAATAGGAGGGAACGTATTAATAATAGCTAAATCTGCGGACAAATGTACGTCATGGCAGCCATCTTGAGCGTCCACTTTTTATGCTAGTATATATAGTCACTTCCGTCCGTTTGCTTAGAACCAAACATTCCCTCCTGTTTCTCTGTACTTTTTGCGAATGATACATAACGGCTTTGTTAAATTCAGCTTGTTTAAATTCGGCTTGACGTATTAAACTTTTCATAGAACTGCTCGACTCAACGTCCGTTATACCGCGTCACCGCGTCGCTGCGTAGCCAAGGGCACCCCTATTGTCATTCATGCCGCGAGACTTGGACGAGTAGGTAGTGCCGCGAACTGCTCCGTGTGTCGTCGTTATCTTTCGAAACACGACAATTTTCGAGACATGAGAAAATCCGATTATTTCAATAAACATATCGCGATCATTTAATTGTCATTATTAACGCGAGTATAAGCATATCGAGATACGGCTGTTCAAAAAAATATGTATACGTATATCGTGCATTTTACCGTTTCGCAGCAGAATCAGAATGATAAAGAATGAGAACTTTAATTTATGCTTTTTTACTCACATTTTGTTTAATTTATGCCTCGTGATATTAGTAGTTAATTCTTTAACATAATATTTATTCACTCAAATACATATATCTTGTATAATATGTATACGTATATCGTGCATTTTACCGTTTCGCAGCAGAATCAAAATGATAAAGAATGAGAACTTTAATTTATGCTTTTTCACTCACATTTTGTTTAATTTATGCATCGTGATATTAGTAGTTAATTCTTTAACATAATATTTATTCACTCAAATACATATATCTTGTATTTTTCGTTATACGATTTGATATATAATTTTCATAATTTCATATTTTCATTGATATATAGTTTTCAGACTGACGAAAGAATGACACATGAAACGTTGGCTGAAATAAGTCAATTAACGGAAAGCATGATAGAAAGCATTGGTAATTCAATAGTATTTATGATGAAAAAACACATACAGAAGAGTTCTTTAAATTTAATAAATGTAGTCATTGGAATAGTCCAACAAAATCGATTCTTCAAATTAAGAAATGCAATTGATTGCATTCAAGTTAAATTTTTGGGATTAAACAATATAGTTTTTGGTCAAAATTAAATTGTTTCAATGAAATAAACGTAAATAGGAGTTTCGCACCCAAATAAATCTTTCTCTCTGTGTACTATCTCCGAGTTATACATCAATTATATTGAAATAATTTTTACAATATATTGTATTAAAAGACATTCTCCGACAAACATTTATCAAAATTGATCTTAAATACAAGAAGCAGAATAAATTAATTTTTATAAAATATCAAATATTCGTGCGGTAATAAATCGGTTGGCATGGCGACCACGATATTTGTTTCTGTGTGGTGTAGCGCGTCACTGTGTACAGAAGATCGCCTCATTCATATAATACTCGAACAGATAGTGATAAATCTATATAGCGTTATCTATCATTCCTCGATTTCTATAAATATAGTTAGCAATTATGCGTTATGTTTCGTATAGTAGTTACGTGTGTTCAATATTCCTTTTTACGAGTATTTTTATTTGTTAATTCATATCCTTCCTCAGATACATTTTAACGCGACGGAAAAGCTCAGTATCTAAAAGCCCAACGAAGCTAACGCCACCGATTTAACTGAATAAACGAACCGCAGTCAGTTTGTCGTGACGCGTCGCGTTCGGGAATGGCGTGCAAGTAATCAGATTAAAAGACTTTTTCTAAGACCCATTTGTGATTTCCGATTTATTTGTCGATTAAAAGTGCAGGCTCCCAACGAGCTATGTAGATATTTTATTATGGACTTTACAAACGGAAATGCCGCGTACAATGTCGCATGAAAAACTTTTACTTATAATTAATCCGTCGTAATTATTTATATGCCCGATTGTAATTATCCACGAGTGTTTTTCGTCAGTGAGTGCCACGTAAAGAGAAAGATTACAACTTAAACATCCTCAAAGGAGGAGAAGGCCTAAGAGAGGCATCTTGGAGTTGTGCTGACTTGGAGCAACCTTGGAGTAAGTAATTTATTATTTATATAAATTAATTATTAATAATATGAAGCATTGAAAATAGTTGGATACAACAGGGCAATAGGAGTCAAGCATGGTAATTCTTGTGCAAACCAAACGGTTAAAAAAACAACTTTATTAATAATTAATCCGCTTACATGTTTCGGCTCACTTATGAGCCATCCTCAGAGACAGTATGATGTTGTAATTAGAAAAAAAAATTTTTTTCTTACAACCTCTAATTCATTTCAGTCAGCCACCTCCATCTATTAACGGGAATCTTTAATAATTTAATCTTAATGTAACGAGGAATGTACACTGATTTATTAAGTATTTATTTGTTTATTTGATTTAAAAAAGATCAGAGAAAAAGAATTTGGTACATAAATTCTTAAAAACTTGTATTTAAGAAAAGTTTTTTTTTTAATCACATATTATATTAAACATTATATCTATTTTAAAAATAAATATAAAATTCGGCACGTACACTAATTATTTTTCAAAATATTAATTGTCTTTTGAATTCTGATTTAATTTGAATATTATATTCGTATGTTATAGAATCATTGTAGTCAACATAACTGATAACTCGGTCGCTGCGCATCGATCGATGAGTGTATATGTAATAAAATAACTTTATCTTACTAATATAACGGATTTACGAAAAAAATTGTATTAGTTATGATATTTAGATGAATTTATATATTTAATTAACGCCAATATAATATATATGAATATATGTATGACATCATGTGGATCTGTTATCTTAAAATAGAAAAATTCTGAGACAAATTAGATTACTAAATTCAGGTCATTTAATCTTGAATGTATTATCACTTATCATTTGCGCGAGTACATCCTTTCATAAAGGAATAAGATTATGTGAAGACACAACTCGTAAAGAAAAAATTATAAATCATTATATTATTATAGTTTATATTGCATTAAGCGTATTAATTAAGAACATATATATATATATATATATATATATATATATATAATGAGACATTAAATTTAAAAACTTACTAATAATAATTATATGTAATCTTAAAACAGTCGATCTTAAAACGTGCCAATTTTGTTCTCATATTTTGTCCTCTTGCCAATTAATAATTGAATTTATGTCAATCAAAATAATTTATGTTAAATGACGTGAAATCCAATTTATATTTCATAGATACGGAGAATAGTTTTATATTAGACCAAGAGGCCACTGTAGTAATTTTGTTATCCATAGCGACAAGTATTTTGTTACCCACAGCGGAAGTAACCAAAGCGGAAGTATTTCATTTAAAACATAAAAGCAATACATATATATTTAAGCCCGATCGCGGTCGCTTGAAGGGAAGGTGAGCTTTTCAAAATGTTGCAGATTTTGATTTTTTTACTGAAAGCGTTGAATGTAGTTGCGATCGATAGTTAATACCCTTATTCCAAGAAAGGCGGACTCCCACACCCTCAGAAGGGTGTAAGGGATCGCCATACTGGGTCAAAGTGGTACATTTTTTCTGGAAAAAAAAATCAATAGTGATAAGGTTGAATTATTGTCTACTACTTAATTTTGATATCAATTGTCGAGAAATGTGGTTCCCATACTTTTTGGATGGTCACGAAGACAGCCATACCTATCCAAACATGTACAATTTTCTTACTCCATGTAAAATTGTATGTATTTAGGTAGGTTTCAGTATACAATATTTTCAGTAAAAAAATCAAAATCTGCAACATTTTGAAAAGCCCACCTTCTCTTCAAGCGGGTTTAAATAAATATGTATCGTTTTTATGTTTTACATGAAGTAA